TAGTTGGTTTGTCTTATTTTAAAAATGGTCCACCCTGTTTATAATTTACAGAAATTACGGAAATCAGTATATCAACATTTTCCGAAAAAAAAAAAAAAAGTTCAAAATGAACTGCCAGTACATCCTTTTACGCTATAAATTGTAATTGTAACAAAGATTATTGGAGTGAGTTTTACAAAAAAAAATACTATTTCAGTCTTCCTGCTTCCAAATTTCATGTTTTTCATGATTTTAATTTCACGTTTAATTCAAATCTATTAAAGTTACATGCCGATTTATTGTAATTATTCGTGAAATTAACTAGCATTTCTGATTTAAAACTGGATTGCAAAACTTTTGCAAGCAAATGTTATATTTCATGGGGGAACACAAAAAATTTGCACGTGAACACAAAGCTTCGAAATATACATTTTCCTCCTATCGCATTTTTTTTCCCACCATATTCCATATCGTCCTGTAACTTTTTTCCTGATTTTTGTTCTTGTGTAAATCAATCAAGTTATAACGATATACATTTTAAGTGCCTGAGTTTTACGAGAACATATTTCAGAAAGTCTAGCATATCCTTTTATAGAAATGCAACCATGCATTTTTTAGGGGAAAAAAAAGTTCAAAATGTGCTGCGTAAGAGGAATGACCCATATACTGCGTTCCTGTCCCTGATGTTCATACATAGGGCTGAATGCTGTAAGCTCTTACAATCACAATGCTCAAACTACATCCATTATATTACAATCTACAGTGAGCCCAAACCTCAAGTGCTCTTAATTTTTGCTCACAAACAGGCTTACCACATTACCCGAAATTTGCCTGAACTCAGAATTGTACATTGGAAATTTTTGTAAATCAATGCATGTGCTCAGAATTAGTGGCATAATGAGCATTTTACACTTTGATGATTTCATTTAACAGTTTAAAATGTGTTAATGCAAATATACACTATATAGCACCTAAGTGAAAAAGGACAGACAAGAAAAATCACTCCCTAATCCTCTTAGTGTCTTAAGTGATTCTTATGCTTCTAACACAGTCAGATCACAACCAAGTCCAACACATCAGCTCGATTATTAAAACAAATACTACACCATAAGTAATACCCCTATTCGATGGCCAGCATTGATTGGACATTTGAGATTGTGCTTCAAACCGAATGCTCATTTAGAGTGGCCTGTTTCTTCCTAGCAAAATAGAAAAAAAAATAAAATAAGAGCTTTAAAAATAAAACAAGAGGGTACAGACTCAAGCAACAGCAGGGGACGTGCTCCTACTGGCACTGCATTAAAAAAAATAAATAAATAGCCTAAGACATAAAAAAAAAAAGAAAAAAAAAAAAAAAAAAAAGAGCAAAAATTGTGTCCTCTTAAAGGAACAGTCTGCATAAAATTTAAAATTCTGTAATTTTTACCTAAGGAAGAATAACTTCACAGCAGGGTTATTATAGTATAAAACCAAAATCATAAAAAATCAATACATGAAATAACCAAAAAAAAAAAGACCTGAACTTATTTTATTTCAGCTAGTTGCTGAAAAGGCAACATTTCTCATAAATTTTACTTGAAGTACTAAAATAACTAAATAAACTAAAATTAATATATAAATCTTAATTATGAAAACGATAAAAATTTAAAATATAAATTAATATGTAAACTATTAAAATTAAAATATAAATTATATATATTAAATAGACATTAAAAAACCTTTCGGGTTACGCATGTAACCATAGTTCCCCGAGAGGGAACTATGTGCCCCCCTAGGGGGCACATTGGGGAATGCAGCCTGCATGACCGGTGTCTGAAGCATGTGTGAAACAGCGCCAATCTATTGGCCCACCTGGCCCATGACGTCATAGGCGGGATGCCCGGAAGTATAAAAGGGCACCTGCTGAATACGTCATCTACTTTAGCTGTCTGAAGGAGAAGTAGACAGGCAGGCCAAAGGCATGGCAAGGGGGCGCAGCGTCTCGTTCCGTCTCGGTGAACCATGGTTACATGCGTAACCCGAGACGTTCCCTTTCTAGGGAACTCAACGCTGTGCCCCCTAGGGGGCACATTGGGGAACGGAATCCAATCACGCCATGCCAAGGCGCATGCCTGTCCACCTGGAGGGAGAGCAACAAGGAAGCGACAGACATAAACAAAGCCTTTCCTCAGAAAGGGGCCATGCCACTGACGCCACAGGCCGCTCACGCAACTTGGCAGAAACGGGGGAAACTAAATAGATCAAGGGGAACATCCCATCCAAGTTAAGAGCACAGCTATCCTCAGATAGCTATGCTATGTGAGCAGAACTAGCCTGGATACACAAGACCGCTGAGGAGGCCAACTAGAAAGACTCTAGAGGAGCTCAAAAGATGCTACTTAAATTCCAGGTAAAGAGAGTAGGCCCCCTAGGGGGCACATTGGGGAACGGAATCCAATCACGCCATGCCAAGGCGCATGCCTGTCCACCTGGAGGGAGAGCAACAAGGAAGCGACAGACATAAACAAAGCCTTTCCTCAGAAAGGGGCCATGCCACTGACGCCACAGGCCGCTCACGCAACTTGGCAGAAACGGGGGAAACTAAATAGATCAAGGGGAACATCCCATCCAAGTTAAGAGCACAGCTATCCTCAGATAGCTATGCTATGTGAGCAGAACTAGCCTGGATACACAAGGCCAACTAGAAAGACTCTAGAGGAGCTCAAAAGTTGCTACTTAAATTCCAGGTAAAGAGAGTAGCTGCTGAGCTGGCCACCTGGAGGGAGAGCAACAAGGAAGCGACAGACATAAACAAAGCCTTTCCTCAGAAAGGGGCCATGCCACTGACGCCACAGGCCGCTCACGCAACTTGGCAGAAACGGGGGAAACTAAATAGATCAAGGGGAACATCCCATCCAAGTTAAGAGCACAGCTATCCTCAGATAGCTATGCTATGTGAGCAGAACTAGCCTGGATACACAAGACCGCTGAGGAGGCCAACTAGAAAGACTCTAGAGGAGCTCAAAAGATGCTACTTAAATTCCAGGTAAAGAGAGTAGCTGCTGAGCTGGAACAAAGATATCCTCAGATAGCTATGTCCCTAAGGTCTTACGAAGGATTGTGTAGCCAAGATAGCCTTCCTACGGAGCTGCCCAGACCACAGAGAGTGGGCTATCTACTTACTACCCTAGCAGGGGAGACAGCACTCTCAAAGGCAAGGGCTCAAAAAGACCGCTATTTAAAATCCCTAAGCAGGGGAGCGATCTCTCTGTGCTCACACTTCATCGTTATAACAACCCAACAATATCCATGGCATCTGACAACCATATAGAGAGGGTGTGCGGATGCCACAGATCAAAGCAATGACCGCGAGTTGAGATAACTGTGCCGTGGCAATGGCGGAACCAGGCCGCGAGACACAAACGCTCTGTTCCGTATCCCTCGGGAATAGGAACAAATGCGAGCTGAGCCCACACATCATGACTCATCACAATGAGCGCGTAACTCTGAACGCGCGTGCTCTTCGCCGAGACAAACGCGAAAGCAGAACATACCCTCGAGTGTTAGAATCCAAACACGGAGGCACATATTCCCTAAGGAGCTGCTCGACTCGAGCACTATCCTCGGGATCCGATAACCCAAAAAGGGCATCTCAACCCCTCGAATCCCGCGATCCAAGTATTCGCCGTGCCTTGGCAACAGCGGGACCTGAACCGCGAGACGCAAACGCTTGTCACTCATCTCTCGAGAAGAGGGACAGACGCGAATGGAGCTTCTCATTGGATAACACTCACAATGAGCGCGTTCAGAGCCCTCGAGCACTGAACACGCAAGCTCCTGACCAAAAACAGAAGACAGATAGATTGTGCGCGTCCTCAAGTGCCAGAAACCTCTGGAACGGAGGCACACACTTTCCACACCGCTCACCTGCCTTGGTCTCTCACCCGCACGTCAAACAGACAGCTCCTGAAGACAGCAAAGAGGATGACGTATTCAGCAGGTGCCCTTTTATACTTCCGGGCATCCCGCCTATGACGTCATGGGCCAGGTGGGCCAATAGATTGGCATTGTTTCACACGTGCTTCAGACACCGGTCATGCAGGCTGCATTCCCTAATGTGTCCCCTAGGGGGCGCAGCGTTGAGTTCCCTAGAAGGGGAACTAATACAAATGACAAAACAAAACAAAATGAACTAAAATTAAAGTGAAAGCAAAATCTAAAAATAAAATCTAATTCAAAATGTTAATAAAAGAGCAGTGTGAGAATTTTGCAAAAAATTATACTTTTCTGCTTCCACTTTAATAATAGTTAAAGTTTATTCTTTTTTTTGTTTGTTTGGTAACCCATAACCCATTTGGTTACAGTAAGGTTTCATTTTAACGGATGTTAATGCATTAACTAACAATAAGCAGTACATTTGTTACAGTATTTATAAAGCTTTTTAAATTTTAGTTAATAAAAAAATACAACTGTTTAATGTTAATTCATGTTTATATTACCATTAAGTAATGTTAAAAATGTTAATTCATGTTCATATTTCCATTACGTAATATTAACATTATTTATACAACTTTTATTAATTATTAAATTATTTATACAACTTTTGCTTTTAGTATTAGTAAATGTTGAAAGTAATATTTACTAGGATTAATAAATGCTTTATTAATGTATATATGTTTATGTATTTTTCATTGTTAGTTCATGTTAACTAATGTAGTTAACCAATGATAACAAATGGAACCTTACAGTAAAGTTTTTTTTCTTTTTTAAATATGTCTATTTAATGTTATATATTATATTTTAATTGCAATATACAGTAGTGTTTAAATATATCTATATATATATATACAATTAAATTTTATTAACTTGTATTTATTTTTTATTTATTAATTTATTTTGTGGATTTAATTTTTGGGTGAACTATCTCTTTAAAAGGACACTCTTAAAGACTCATGTACTCATCATAGCTATTTCTATGTAATGAAGCAAAGTAAAATGTTACTACAGGTGCTTTAAATCATGCAGTTCCAATGGTGACGGTTTGCGTCTGTCTCGTAACTGTTCAGGAAATGCATTTACCTGCTGATTTTGACTTGATCTCTTTCCGGTAATTGGCACATATCCTGTTGTAATGGGTGCAGATGTGGTGTAAACACCAGGCAGCAAGTTGATTAGCATTATGGAACTGTCATCAAAACAAGAGAATAAAAAACAAGACGTTAACGTTTGTATGTATTTAGTCTAAATACTGGAATATGATCACAGTAAACAAAGGCTGTCATCTTGTATTCTGAAACGATATATTGTATTTTACTATGAATTCTCACAGCTACTGTCAAAACTTTGAAGGTTACTGTACAGTAGGCTCAAAGGAAGATGAAATGGAACCAACATATTGTGACTTGTAACACTTCAAACAAAACTGCAATAGGTTTATTGTAAGTAGCTTTGTATGAAAGCATCAGATAAGTTGCATATTGTAATTACAGTCATACAGAATGCCAGATATTTACAGATATTACTGTTTAATATCTGCTGTATTATTCATCTGTAAAATCATGGTTGATTTTATTGTAGAGACACTGGATGTTTACAGGAAACATCCTGTGTTTTGAATGCTGTTAAATTACAGTTTAAATAATTGAACCTGGTTCTGTTTGTTTACAGTACTCTATTTGCAACTAATGTTGCCAGTCATTTCTTTAATTGTATGTGTAATATATATATATATATATATATATATATATATATATTTACTAGGGCTAGGAAAAATACACACACACACACACACACACACACACAGACAAAACATTTTCTTGAGATTATTTATCTGTTTAATATGGAATGATGAACGCTTTAAAAATAATTATCGCAACTATTTCAATATCTATTTTTACTTCATGTAAATATTGTTAGAATATATTTCATTTATACTGATTCAAATTCATTCAATTTCTTTATCTCACCAGGTTAAAAACTGGAGTATGACCAGCATTAACTTATTTTGTAGATTATTCCAAGCAAATGAAGCATTATAATGAGCTCTGCTAGGACCCGAGGAACATTAAGATATAACAGGTCATTTGAATGAAGATTATAACATGCATTTGTATTGTATTGTATTTGTTATTTAGAGTGTAGAGATATGTACGATCAAATGTTTTATCACTAGGGTCGATTAATCGCCACTCACCACATCAAACCTATGTGATTAATTAGCACTAACATTTACATTACAATATAATCACTAATATTTACATTTATACATTTAGCTGACACTTTTATCCACTGTCAATTATCCATTTTAATAACAAAAGATCGATTTACCTGAGCAAGCTCTAGATAGGTGAGTACCTCTCCATCGATATCCTGTCCATCTTTAGATGCTTTTAAGAACTCGCTCACAGCGTATTGCTCTGAGGAGAGAAAACCTCTGTTAAACAGAAGGCACATTTAGATGAGCGGGGAAAAATGGTGTAGAAACAGTTTTCACTCATTTTCAGAAATTGCTAGTAAATTTCACAAATAATTATGAAGAAACAGCAAGTAACACCAAATTAAAGGGTTAGTTCACCCAAAAATGAAAATTCTGTCGTTAATTACTCACCCTCGTGTCGTTCCAAACCCGTAAGACCTTCGTTCATCTTCAGAACACAATTTAAGATATTTTTGATGAAATCTGAGGGCTTCTCTGACCCTCCCATAGACAGCAAGGTAACTACCACGTTCAAGGTCCAGAAAAGTACCAAGATGGTCGACAAAGTAGTCCGTGTGACATCAGTGGTTCAACTGTAAAGTTACGAAGCTATGAGAATACTTTTTTGCACAAAGAAAACAAAAATAACGACTTTATTCCGCATTTTCGACTCAACTGCGTCACTTTGGATGCGCGTTCACAACAGTATCATGACGCGAGGGTGTGGCTTTACAGTTGAACCACTGACTACTTTGTCGATCATCTTGGTACTTTTCTGGACCTTGAACGTGGTAGTTACCTTGCTGTCTATGGGAGGGTCAGAGAGCCCTCATATTACATAAAAAATATCTTAAATTGTGTTCCGAAGATGAACGAAGGTCTTACGGGGTTTCGAACAACACGAGGGCGAGTAATTAATGACAGAATTTTAATTTTTTGGGTGAACTAACCATTTAAACATGACATTTTGAAGTAGAAAGACGCTTTACAGTTGAACCACTGACTACTTTGTCGATCATCTTGGTACTTTTCTGGACCTTGAACGTGGTAGTTACCTTGCTGTCTATGGGAGGGTCAGAGAGCCCTCATATTACATTAAAAATATCTTAAATTGTGTTCCGAAGATGTCATGTTTAGATGTCAAGCTTTGTCGATCATCTTGGTACTTTTCTGGACCTTGAACGTGGTAGTTACCTTGCTGTCTATGGGAGGGTCAGAGAGCCCTCATATTACATAAAAAATATCTTAAATTGTGTTCCGAAGATGAACGAAGGTCTTACGGGGTTTCGAACAACACGAGGGCGAGTAATTAATGACAGAATTTTAATTTTTTGGGTGAACTAACCATTTAAACATGACATTTTGAAGTAGAAAGACTGAAATAGTATGTTCTTGTAAAAAAAATACTCTAATAATCTTGTTTAATTTACTTCAAACCTAAAAAAAATGGTGCATTTTGTGTGCAAGGGTATTTTAAGCAAATCTATTTACACAGTATGATATTTCATGATGCTTTAGTACTCATGCAGACTGTAAATAAACTGACTCACAAAAAAAGAAAATCTTTTTTCCTCAGGGACGGTGCAGGCTACGCAAAACCGGAGGTAAATAGCTGCATCTGGAGTCACAGATAAATTTCAGCCTGTCACCACCACGTCATTAGATGACGTCCGCCGGACAGATTGTAGTGTGTACCACACAAAGCTCCGCGGAGATGTTCTCTTTTATTTGGCACCTTGACATCGCTCGTTGCTAAGCAACACAGAATAAAAGGGCTAAAAGGCCTGTTTGCTTTAGATCCGAGGTGGCCGAACAGCTCAGCCCTGTGCTTGAGGAACGTGTGTGTTGTTTTGTGTGTCATTCAGAGCGTGTGGCGGAGCGTTGGCAGAGAGCTCACCTGTCAGGGCGATGAGCCGTGGAAGGCACAGTCTGTTGGCCAGGGCGATTAGCTCCATTGGGTCCAGGTCTGCCATGGGCGACAGCTGATTGGTGTAGAGATACTCCAGCACTGCCTGCATACATACCCTGTTGGTGTTGGGGAATGAGACCTGGTAACACACATGTACGTGCGTCATTATTCTTCAAACAATCAATTTCTTCAATTCCATCTGGTTCTGTCAGCGTCAGCGTGAAATAGTTTACAATCAATTTCCTTCTGAAATGTGAGAATAATTCTGAGGGAAATAGGAAATCGGTGGGATAAAATGTAGAGCAAGACTTGATTTTATCCTCTGGGAATTGATTTCGTGGGCATCTGGAGAGGTTGAAAAATAAGAGGACTTTCGGTTAAGAAGTAGCGCAAGTTATACATTGCATTGATACGTTGATACGTTATACGTTGATTTTGACAAAGTTACCGGATGAAACTTATTTTTTTCCCTTGGTAAGCATATAATATAATACACACATTAACGGTCAAAAGTCAAAAGATAATTTTTTTTAATCCTCTTCAAGGCTGCATTTATTTGATTAAAATACAGAAAAACACAAAGTAACAATAAAGACATTTATAATGTAGTAAAAGATTTGTATTTCAAATAAATTCATAAAAGAATCCGGAAAAAAATATCATGGTTTCCACATAAGCAGCATTTGCGGTTTTCAACATTTATAATAATAAGAACCATTATTAATAATTGAGCACCAAATCAGCATATTAAAATGATTTCTGAATGATCACGTGACCTTGAAGACTGGAGTAATGATGCTGAAAATTCGGCTTTGCCATCACAAGAATAAATCAAATTTTAAAATATATTTAATACATTTTAAATTATAATGATATTTCACAATATAACTGTTTTTTCTGAATTTTCAATCAAATAAATGCAGCCTTGGTGAACTTGGTGACTTCTTTCAAAATCATAAAATCATAATTCTGAACTTTTAGTTTTTACCAATGGTGTATATAATAATGTTATTTTATTCCTGAAATTGTTTTAATAAAAAATTGCACATACAGACCTTTTTGTTCAGGAATAACATGCACAGATGAATGAATACTTAAGTTAAGTAATGTGTATTAAAATGTAAACAGGACCCTTTTTAATTTCATGTTGATTTTCATAGGATTTATACATGATTAAGAAGTGTAAAACTCTAGTTATTTTTTGATAGATTTTAATTCAACCATTAAAAAGTATTGTGTATTTAACAGACTCTGGTCAGCTCTCTATGAAACTGATGGCCGGCTCACCAGCAGTCCAGCATTACTAAGCACATTTGGGCAGAACACGCAGATAGATGCTGCTACGTAACTCATTACATAATACTCTTCAAGGGCAAGCACATTGCTGTGTTTTGCCGGGGTAGTCTAACCACTCCAAAAGAGAGGCATGCTCTCACTGATTTCAGCAAGCACTGTGGAGTGTGGACTTAAGTCTGAAAGTAGGACGCTGTCTAAAATATAGCTGTGCCAATTGTTACACTTTCATGAAATGTCAGAGCAGTAAGGCAAAAAAAAAAACCACTGAGTCCCTTGTGCAAAGATTAGCTGTAGAGGAAAACAGATCACTGTCTCTGAATGACGTCTGCTTTTCCTCCTTAGGGAGGAAACTCAGTCTGCTTTATTCCACCTGTTAAGGAAGAAATTAATGAACAGCGCCACAGATGAAAGCATCTATTTGGACAGTGGAAACAGGATTAAGTGTGCACGTGGCAGCAGTGAAATGAGCAAAAAGCATAATGTTTGCTTCAAACAGCAGGAAGTACCTGTATCGATTGTGCAACTCAGCTCATTAATTATGGATTATGCATGTAAATGGCTATAAATGGAAAAATATATGAAGCTAACTGTACTATAAGGTTATCATTAATAAAAATGATTACAAAGACAAAAACTAGACAAAAAATATGTTTTTAAATATTGTAAAAAAAAAAACTGTAATACTTAAAAAAACAACAATATAAATGTGCACTAAAATATATACAAAAACTCCATAAATCTCAAAATAGGGAAAATGACTTTCGGAAACTAGATCTAATACTGAAACAAAATTTCCAAAGAAAAAAAGAAAGAAAAAAAAGTCCTGAATAAACAATTACTACAGCTAAACTGAAATTGAAAATCAATGCAGAACAAAATACAAATGAATGACATTTTCAAAAATGTAATAACCCTGCTATATTGTGAATAAAATGTCTTGTAAGACAAACATCATGCACTCCAAAAAGGTCATGAGAGCTGACGGATCATTCATCACTGCAGAAAAACGTCACTTATAGAGACACATGGACTAGACTATTTTAGTTATTCAAGAATTTGATGCAATTTGTTGGCAAGCCAGTGTCTGTAAAATGTGCCAGTGCGCATCTATTTGAGTATGTAAGCGCATGTAAATGTCTGTGCGGTGTGACCTTGTACCATCTGCTTGAGAACTGGCAGACTCATTAATGCTTAAGACAAAATAAAGTTGTTCTGTAGACTTGTCAGTGCCCTAACTGGAGCTCATCAAACATTGTTTTCACACTCACCTCGTCATTTGCACTCTCCATGAAAGAGCCCCCAAATAAGGCAGCCATCCAGTCACAGCTAGAGATCAGCAGTGGTTTGTGGGCATTAATGGTGCCATCATCCAACCTGAACACCACATCTGCAAAGAGAGTCCAAAACTGCATTTTACAAAGATATCAGTTATTGCATGTTTCAACTAGCATGAGCATATTTCAGATGTTGCAGCAAATACTTTTAAATCATTTTAAAGAGACTGTGCTTCTTTCTTATTCGAAGATAAAATAAACACATCTGGGTTCCTCAATACCTGTGAAGTTATTCTTGGTGAGACACTCTTTGATTCGGTTGGCCTTTCTCACATGGAACGCTTTTGTGATCTCTTGATTCATGAAGCCCTCATTGTTCATGATGTTCTCCACCATCATCCTAAGATCAAACACTTCTAGGATCTCTGCAATCTGGGCGATCTTCATCAGGTCCTTCTCCTCCTCATCCAGCTCACCAGTGTAGAGGAAACGTAGGACAGCGCTGAACGGTCCATGGTGAATGGAATGATCCATCTTGACGATAGTCATAAAAGCTGGCGCACCCGTGACCGGATTGATCACGTTCTCCTTGTGGATGCTATGGAAGGCCTTGCTCCAAGAGGCCAGGGACAGCTTGGTGCGCCAGTGCATTCCACTGAAACTCTTCATCTTGAGGGTTCCGTCACTCTTGGATGCCCTGAGCGAGCAAGGCGAAAGATTGGGGAGAACCATGATGTCCTCTTCCGTGTCCAGGCTTAGGGTGCGCATCAGTTGATCCCGCCCGTGACGCTCAGTTACCACCAAGCACTGGGACTCATCGGAGAAGTCCATCTGAAAGAGGTCGAAGAATTTGGAGGCCGAGGTAGACAGGTAGATCCTGTGGGCAAACAATTGGATGTGTTCTTGAATAACAAACATAACATCAACGCACAGGGGGCTCTCAAGAAGCTGCCTCGGGCCATCCCGGTTTTTGGTTGGGCACTCTGGAATCTTAATAAGTGGTGGAGGGGCTTTGGGTGGCAAAAATGGTGCCTGCAACAGTGGCTTTTGGACCTTCCTCAAGTGGGACTTCCAGAATTGTAGGTGGCGTCTGGAGATGAGGGCAGCTCGGATTGCATTATCAAAGATATCCTTGATGCCAAACTGGTCGAAAACACTTGTCTCATAGTATGGGATGCCAAGCTCTTTGGCGACCTCCCTTCCACTCTCTGGAGGCAAAATATCTCCTGGTTTAATGGGTCTGTGAGAGACAAATAAATACAATCAAATCTTGTGTTACTATAACAGCACACCTAGTAAGAGGATTACCTCTGGGAGATGAATTTTAAAGGAATATCCAAGTTCCAACTTTTTGGGCTTTAGTTACCAGTACCTTGATAATGGTCGCCTAGCTCGATTGACTGCCTCCAGGTCAGCGTAGCGCAAGTCCAGCTGGCAACCGACCAAGATGACAGGTGTGCGTGGACAGAAGTGCTTGATCTCGAGGTACCACATGGTTTTAACATGGTGTAGGGAGTTGGGATTGGCGATGGAAAAGCAGAGAACCACGACGTCAGACCTTCGAGAGTGAAAGTTGAGAAGTAAATCGAGTAACTGACCAATGAAAACTCATCTTTTTAACAACACAGGGCAAGACACCATGTAACATGCATGCTAACGGGATTTTAAATGATTGTCAAATGGTGCCAAGTGGTATTCATAGCAACACGACAGTTCTTGAGTGTTTGGTGGACATGCAAAACCTGCAATCTCAATGCCAACCTGACACTGGCCCATTGACAACACGCAAAAAGATTGCCTTTGATTTACACACGTCTGATGCCAGAGACCACAAACTCCTTCGGAAATGCTTTTTGTTGTTGTTGTTTTTTGGCTGCCTCTGCGAGGACTAGAACAAACATGATCAACAAAACAGATGAAACAAAAGCACAAAGAAGATGACATGCAGACATTCTGGTGCACTGCTGGCATACCTTCCTGTAGCAAGATTAGTACAAAGTCTATCCTGGGGAGGGGGGGCAACACCTGTCACCACACAAGTAAGTGAATAATGTACGATCACCCGTTTGCCATGGTCCACAAAAGGAATCGTGCATTTCTTGTTGACTGGGCAAGCAAAGGTCTCAGCTACCACACCACACAGTTGGCAATGCAGATAATTATGGAGATGCTAGCAGGCTTGAGGACTTACAGTGTCTCTCTTAGGTTTCACAGGCTTGCATAAAGATCATAGGAGCCCTAAAAACAAAAAGAGGCACAGAACAAAGCTACATAATAATTTGCCTTTGTAGTCAAAAACAGTTCAGGGAAATCTGTCTGAAGAAGAACAACATTAATGCCAGAGTCTATAATGACAATATAAGTCCAATGGGACAGTAAACCAGAGTCTGATATCAAGCAGCTTTTGAAGTTAAAGATATCTGAATGCTTTGATATGGTACTGCATGGTCCCAGTGATTGCTAGGCTAAAGCCTATCCTGTCCTCTATAATGGTTTTCTGAAAACTAAACTAATCTATGGTCAAAATGGGGCTCTTGGCAGATCACCCTAGCGCTCTAGAGAAAAGCCTGTTTGATGTTAAGCCAGAATCAATGCACTTCTGGTAAAACATGTAGCATTTATTTGGGCTAAAGAATCTATTGGAGAGCCGGTGTGGTTGCAATTGCCCTCTCAATAACTCGACATTACCTCCCCCAACCTGAATAAATGAGAGCAAATTAGCATATGAGCAGCAATTATCTTCAATAACCTTACATCAATCCAGGGAGTACAACACTCAACACGTCATTAATTAGCAATCAAATAAAACACATTATCAGAAGGAGTCATTTGTAAAATTGCTACATCCATGCAAAATCTTGGTCTCCTTTAGGTAAACTCAGACTCACATAGACTTATTGCGGTAAAGTTGCATTTTCCCACCGTCAACAATGTCAGCTAATTTATATATATTATGTTATTGATACGACGATATTAAATACTCCAACCTGCCCACCCCTACTCTTAGCCTATGCTCATAAAGCAGAACACACACTTCTTATCTCTTCTATTTGGTAAGTACAGGTTCAGAGAGGTGCAGAACCTTGGAATCTCGTTCCTGTAAAATTATAGGTTACTCCTAAGGACAACAGAGTATGCCAGTCACACATCGAAGCCCTGAGAAAGATGCCTAGCGAACATCTAGGGGTTATGATTTGAGTACGAGACAAGCTTTATGACTCCAGACCTCAGTGCCCTGGTTTTATTTTTAGAACGCAATAAAGCAGGGAGGACAAAAAATATAATTCTATTGAACATGACTGGCCCAAAATCAGGGAGCAAGGCATACTCTCCAGACAACAAGTCAAGTGTATCTGATTGAAATAGTCTAGTGTATCTGGATTGGGATTGGTCTAGTGCTAAATCACAAAATATTCTCTCTCTGGTAGGGTCTTTAGGTTCCCCTTCAGACTGTCAGAGGGAAGAATTAGGTCATACTTATGCTGCTGAACTCCATCTGTTAAACAACTCCAAAAGGACATAAGAACTGAACACTGCAAGAACATAATTTCTTCTAACAGGGATTCTTTGAGTGTTTCATTCCCCTCCCTAGCTTCTTTTCGAGTTCCCTGGAAGAAAGTCCTATGGGTTTGGAATGGCAAGAGGGTGAATTAATAATAACATTTTCATTTTGGGGGGAACTATGCTTTTAAGCTTGCCCCACTATTACACAGAAAGTGCAAATCAAACAGAATTTATTTGTACCTCCCGTAGGCGAAGCGTCTGTCTTTGTGATGGTCTCCAAAGGTGTCCCATAGCCGGAGGGACACACTTACGTCATCCACAACGTCTCTGGAACGTTCTAAGACCTGTGAGGAGTCATAGCATTAATTCGGCTTTTAAAGTAGCACCCCTGCCCCAGAGCAAAGAACACCACAGGCGTATTTGATCTTTTTCTTTAATCTGTTTTCCTTCCGCCGGCTGAAACTTAAATGAATCCTGACGGAAACAAATCTGGGTATCATGCTCTCATTATTTCCAGCCATAGGCCTGACGTAATGCCATGATAACGGCAAGATAAATTAAATTGAGAAAAGATGTACCTCTTGACAGACTCTGTACTGGTCGATGGCCCAGACGGTGGGTACATGGGTGGCCAACAGTTGGTACTGGGTCAGGGTAGTGTTGCAGGCCCGGGCACAAATAAGGCGAGTCTTCCCCACGGCATTGTCTCCAACAACAACACACTTGATGGTCTCTACATTGGGTCTTTCGTAGTCCATATTCAACTTGAGTACCCTATGACAAGAGGAATTATTGTACAAGAATTCATAGCGCCGCACATACATACTGACCAAAGGAGGAATTTCATTTCAGATCTATTAAATCAGAAGCTGCACAGAGCGCTGACCTTGCCGTGGGTCAATGAAACCTCCATATAATACAGGACTTCTTATTTTCACATTCCTAAAATAGTTGCCCTATATTATAGCCACATCTTGTTCCTGCTGAGCTGGACAAAACCCAACCCATATGAATTTCTTGTCAGATGCAGTGTGTCATTTCATTACATAATACAATATTAAATTACTGATATGGTATTTAATCACTCCAATTAGTGAAACAACTGGAGAGACTCCAATAAAGGGCATTATGCAAAATGCAGCAGTTTTCATCTCTAGTTTTCACCTTCACACCTTACTTCTTCCACTGGATCTTTTATTAAAGGTGAGGTGACATTGTCATTGTCTGAAAAATCAACTGAGACTTTATTTTCTAAACCTCAAAAATCAATCTCAACGTCATGTTAATCAGCATATGTCAGCTATATGTAAACTTGTGAATTAAACACTGGATAAGGCATCCATTCATGGACCTCTATTCATAGCATATCTAGGGACTCCATGACCAACACACAGTCTTATCCACTCATCTTTTATGTTGAAATCTCTTTACATACAGATTGCGGACAGATTATTTGGTTTTCGTCAGGGTCTGTTACAATTTAACTTTAAGTCTAGGACTCTTTAATCAAATAATAAATTTTTAGCTGGAATAAGTTCAAATACTGAGCAAAACAAAAAAAAATATTTAAATGTCGGAAATGTAACGCCCCATACCATAATCTCAGCTTTCAAAGTAAATATCAAGACAGTTAATAATGTCGTTAGTTTTACCATCAGTTCAAGCCCGAGAGGGCAACAGAGTCGCGTGACAGACACAGTGATGATGCAGTACACAAGCCGCGGTTAAGACAGCTGACGTGCTATGATTTCTGACAGGCAGTTCACTCTCCTGTGATGTGACCCTGTTCCCCTCACACCCACACACACACACACACGACGCGTTACTCTGCGCTGCGCAAAACTCCGCGTTTGAACAGTCAATAGCAAATACTTAAACTAATAACAAAACATTCTTACAGTCGCTGATTCAGAAGCGTCAGATTGTCATAGCAAAGTCGGAATTTTCCCTTTTTTTTTTTTTAGAAATAGCCTTTGTGCACAGCCAGCCTTGTACTCTTCTAGGTTCAAAAAACTGTCGTCCATAAAATTCAAACATCTGGGTTGTGCTGTTCTGTTGTAAATAAATCTTAACCAATGAGTCCTAAATGCATCTACTTCCGGAAGGCCAAATAAAGTACTTTTGTTTTCGCACTGAAACACACAGCGTCTCCCTGACATGGCTGCATCAACACTAACTGCTGTTCCTGAAACCACGCCTTCTTTCTTTGCGTGCACATTTGGGGCGGCATTATGCTAATATTTCCACATAGTGACGTAGACATGTGGGGGCGTGTTAGAACGAGCCGTTTTAGATAGGCGTGGCTGACTCTGAACTTTTATAAAGAATATCTCTTTGGATTTTCAACTTTAGTCTTTGCAACTTTACAGATCTTCTTTATGCACCAAGAGCTTGTAACACTCCAAAGAAAAAAGGAAAACTAGAAATCGCATCATATGACCCTTTAAATGCTTTATTAAAGTCAAAATGGTGCCAGGTTAAGTGCCCCTTTTCCAACCACATCCAATTACAGACGAAGCCAAGTTGAAACAAAGTTGAAAATCAAGTAGAAATGGACAAGGTAAATGGACGGTAAGAAAAAAACGATATGTCACAACATAATGATTTTTTTTTTATTTAGAGCACATAAATGTGGAGTGTCTGTTGCATCGAAGTTTGAACTTGCAGCACAGTCATACTAAAAAAAAGCACCCCAGAATCAGAGATATGACAGTGCATAAATTATAATGTAAATATACAACATTTATGCACACAGTAAAAAATGGATGCATGCAGGTGCCTTTGCAAGGCATCATTTCCATCACATCTGACCCTTAAGAATTATTACCTTAGGTTGACTCTTTATTAATATTATTATTAATGTGAATAAAACCAGTTAATTATGTATACTACCACAAGAAGTAGGCTACGTATGCTCATATTCTGCAAAATGCAAACAACAAGGTATGTAGTAGTTTTTACCACAGCTGTAATGCATTGAGAATGACATTACTCCTTAAAATGTGATTTTGGGAAATCATTTCATAATAAATATATATATTATATAAAAACGATACATCGTTGTATCTTTTTAAGAAGTTGATCAACTCTCCTACAAGGGTGCATGCCACCCTGCAAACAAAAGCCATCACACAGTGGACGCAAGCATACGTACCGTGTCTTTGTGATGCGTGTGTTTATTGCTGTCAGAAGTCAGTTCAGTATACAGTGACTGCAGCTCGCTGATGTTATGAAGAACAAACGCTCGTTGCTAGCTGGGCGAATGCTGCAAAACCATCTCCTAACCGCCACTACGTTCCCGTCTGTGAGCAAAGAAAAAAAAGTGAATTCCTATATATTTGCAAGCGTACAGACTGATAAGCATGCGGGGATAGTGCGTCCTTCCCGATCGCGAGACTCTTTGAAAGAATCATCATCTGTCGCGAGTCAGATGCGGCTTCCATTGTGACGTCATAGTGCCGGTGCTATAAATAGCGAGCGCGTACGATTTCATTCAGGAAAACAAGGTGCCTCATATGTGCTGTGAGCCAAAGAAGAGCATCGTCGGGAAACGCGGTCATGTAAAATAAGAAACGTCTTAAAGGTGTCTTGAAATGTAATTACTCTTTTGACTTGACATGTGACTGCATAAGTGTCAGTCAGTGTCACTGTCAAGGCTGGCAGCCATTTAGAATCTGGATTAATCTAATTCTGTTTAACGAGACATTATGCTGTAAATCTCCTCAGGTTATGAAATGAATTTATTTGACAAGCGCAGGCAGTTGCGCACACATCTTTTCCTTACACCTTTATTAGATGCTAAATGACTGCCATCTCTGTGGTCTACATCATTTTAATCCAAATAAGTAGATTACCATCCACTCATTTCCGATTTTATCTTTTGCATATATTGGATGAGCCAAAAACCTGAATGGTTTCATAACAGTGTATAGTCCCAGTATACACATCAAAATAGCCTGGACCTGTGAATCCAATAAAAGAACAGACTGTCCTAATTCTAGCAATTTCCTAGTTTTTACTTGCTTGGAGAAACACAGCTCAAATTATGAATGAAACCAGGGCGGCGGAGCCAGACACACATCAAGAGACACTTCAGGGCCCTGTCTCTTTCCTATAAACCCAGAGGATGTTTTTGAATCATGCATGAAGTGTGTGATGTAGATATATTTATAACTGCTAGGAGCCTGATCCCTTGGTTTGCTGGAGGCAGTAAATGAATGAATGCAAAGTTGAGTGGGACGCATTCTATAAACAGGATTATTTAGCTTCAGTCCTGGGATGTCTTAGCATGCCTACGTGTCAAATAGGTGATATCATATGGTGCGTGACATATACGTTTCCAATTTGTAATCTGTAATTCTTTGAATGAATTTGAATAGTTCATGCAAAATACCTGCTATGACCCAGCTGTCAGACTCATATTTGACATTTTCTGTGCATCACTAATGATGCATCACAATTGGTTTAAACCTTTTAAATGACGGCTCTAAAAATGCACATTATTTCCATTTAATAAATAAACCACTGTGCATTTCTTCAGTAATTTGCCGTCTCATTTTAATCGCAAATACTAAAGTTATGATAATTAACTTTGTGCTTCCTAAGACAAAAAATTCATTTTACATTTAGATTTGGTGCTACGTGACACTGCGTCACATTTCCATATCCTGATCCTGTGGTTAATCAAGATAACCAGGACTAGTGATGTGGGAATCCTTTTAATCTACTAAAGCCGTTGATGTGCAGACAGAGTTGGCATGTGTGCTAATCAGCCTTTAGCCAGTGGCACAGTTAGATGTCTGTGTATATGGCTTCAGGAAGAAGGATAATTTTGAAAATAATTGCTCAATGTGCATGTCTGGTAGTCACTTATACTCGTGTCAGCTCTGAGAGGTGCTCATGCATACATACAGTGGGCTCCAAAAGTCTGGGGTCACTAGTGAAAAGGCATATTTTTGCATTCTTTTCTATTTTAATGCATTGGCTTTTTTTTTATAATTTATATAACCAACGTAACAGTTTGAGTGTAGATTGAAAATTAATAAAAAATGTACATGGATTTTTGGTGATTTAATTTATTATTTTTATTTAATTGTATTAATTTTATTTTATTTGATTTATTGTATTGCATTGTACCTTTTAAGCTGCAACCTTACCTGAATTTACATGTTGGGATGAAAATATCATTATATTAACCTCAATATCTGTAGATTTTAGGCATATAATATTTTATATTTCTTTTAGTTTTATTTTTTTATTCATATTCCCATTTACACTTATTTATAGAAGTTCTCACTTTCATTATTTATCTTATTTGTATTCACTCACTCACACACACACTCACTCACTCACTCACTCACTCACTCACTCACTCACTCACTCACACACACACACACTCACACACACGCACTCTCTCACTCACTCACTCACACACACGCTCGCTCGTCCATGTGATTATTATCGGTTATTGGCTGCTCACAGCCGCCCCCAAAATATCTAATGTTTCATCAATTGTAGCATAGAACCTCAAAACAGAGGCTGAACCTGACTGAATTCAACCAATTGATCATTTCAGAGCTTGGAGCATCAAGCTTGACAGAAGTAACTAACTGATTCATTCTTCTGTGCACACACAGACTGCTGTGGTGAAATACAACCAGCCTTTAAGCTGCAATGATCAAGCTCAAAGGGGTAAACAGATGGCAAAAGCCAAGCCACGTTTGATTGTGCCCCTGCAAAATCTGTTCAGAGACGTGTTACATAAGGCTGATGTGCACGTAGCCACGCTTACAAACCTCCCTAGATTTATCCTGCATTCACACTCCATGCAGTCCCATCTGGATACTGGATGTATAATTCCTTGGCCTTAGAGAGTGGCCAGCAATATCCACGTGTCCCAAGGCAGGCTTTTTACTGGTGCGTCTTCCTCTTTAAATGGCAGCCTAGGTAAGACAAACAAATCACGACATGAAGTCAAAAAGTGTATTCATAAATAAAATTGAATTATATTTGTATGCGAGTAAAGTACAATTAAGGCATAATGCATGTGTCTAAATGATTTATGCAAATGCATGATGAGATTTAAAGAAAGAAAGAAAGAAAGAAAGAAAAATAAAAAAATAAAAGTGTTTTTATTTCACAATTCTGACTTGTTTCCTCACAATTCTGAGTTTAATCTGACAATTCAGACTTTTTTCTCTCAGTTCTGACTTGTAAGATATAAACACAGAATTGTAAGATATAAATTCTGACCTTTTTTCTCTGAATTCGAAATTTACATCTTGCAATTCTGAATTTTTCCCCAGAATTCTGAGTTTTATCTCCCAATTGTAACGTTTTTTCTCTGAATTCTCAGTTTATCTCACAATTCTTTCTTTTTTATGAAATAAAAACAAAAAAAAAAGGTTATTGCGACTTTTTAACTCACAATTCTAAAGTTTTTCTCACATTTGCAAGTTTATATCTCACAATTCTGACATTTCTCTGACTTGTAAGATATAAACACAGAATTGTAAGATATAAATTCTGACCTTTTTTCTCTGAATTCGAAATTTGCATCTTGCAATTCTGAATTTTTCCCCAGAATTCTGAGTTTTATCTCCCAATTGTAACGTTTTTTCTCTGAATTCTCAGTTTACCTCACAATTCTTTCTTTTTTATGAAAAAAAAAAAAAAAAAGGTTATTGCGACTTTTTAACTCACAATTCTAAAGTTTTTCTCACATTTGCAAGTTTATATCTCACAATTCTGACATTTATTCTCAGAATTGCTTCTTTAAACCTTACAATTTCGAGTTATTAACTTGCAATTCTGATATAAACTCATACAGACTCTAATGTTGTTGAAAATGCCAAGAATTTTTATGCTGGAGGTTTGAGAGTCAGGGTGATTGCAGTGATTGTCCTGTTTGGTTTCCTCTGCAGACATGAAGGCTGCTTCACTGTAATTCAACACCTTTAAGACTGAGCTGCCATGCATGTCTTTCATTCAAGTAACATGTTCCTGGTATTTTAAAGACAACTAGCCTATAGAACAAACATTATTCCAATAGAGACTCAGAGGTCTGAGTATTTACACTGCACTGACCAAACTATATTTTCTTTTTACTTTTATTTACTTAAGGTTTAAATCATATTACCATGTTGATAGTCGTCTTACAACACTCAGTATGTAAACATAAACTCAAATTTCTACAGTATGTAACTAAAAGCAAGACTGGGGCTAGTTGTCAAAGTTTTAATACACTGGTTATTTCTCTTTGGGAGTTTGTTTGACCATTTCTGCCAATATTGTCAAAGGAAGAAGAAAAAAAAGTCTATTGAACTCCCATTTTGCGACAATGGAATGCTTGATAATGAAACATGCTGTCACACTATATGGGCTAAGTTGAAATTAAATAATGCCATGAAATAGTAAAAAATTTTAGTAAAAATTAAACAGTAAAACAATTAGAAAACACCAAACGTCATGCATGAAAAAGCTAAATTTATAAAAAGCAATATAAAAATATTTAGCCTTAAGAATGTGTAAGTAATCTGTTCCACAAAACCTATGTGATAACTTACCCCAATATAAAATCCACATTCATAATGTGTCTTGTGGATGTGTATTGTGTTCTTGTTTACCCATATTAAATGACAAAATAAAACAAAATACATTATTTGCCCATTGTGTTCTTTTTACCCTGCTTACCCATATTAAATATATGACAAAATTTATAAATGACATTAAAACACACACACACACACAAGGAATTGGAATATCAGATATTTCATAATATAGTTAACACGCTTGTGGCTGTGCTGTGTCATGTGACAAACATGACGCGTTGTCATGGAAAAAATATTGGTCGCCTAAAAAAACTCGCGTTGGGGGGTCATCTAGAATATTTCAAAATCACGTGCGAAAGAGTCAAAACCCATGTGGTTAGGAAGTTGCCTTGGAAGGTTGTGACGTGTAGGCAAGTACGGTGTCCCATTCTTGGAATTTGTGCTCTGCATTTAACCCATCCCAAGTGCGCACACACACACACACTCAGGTTTGTTTTTGTGAAAAGTGGGGACATCCCATAGGCGTAATGGTTTTTATACTGTACAGACCGTATATTCTATTGCCCTACACCAACCCTACCCCTAAACCTACCCCTTACAGGAAACTTTGTACTATTTCAGATTTTCAGTACACTCCATTCTGTGTGATTTATAAGCGTCTTGAAAAGTGGGGACATGGGGTAATGTCCTGAAAAGTCACCTTCTCCTTGTAATACCTATGTCATATCTTTGTCATTATACAAATTTCACAAAAACGCGCGCACACACACACACACACACACACACACACACACACACACACACACACACACACACACACACACACACAAACACACACATT